CTTTATGCTTAACTACAAACAAACAATCTTTCTTGCTTCAACTGAACAGACGGGTCAGAGACATCTTGCGTCGCTAATTTCGTACTGCTGAGCAAAGGGAGGGCAACGAACCAACAACACACGCCGTCTACGCGGCTACTTTTAAACGATTAACGGCAACAATTCTGTCTATACATTTCAAATACCGAAAGAAATTTGGTTAATTTAATAATTTTTCTTCAACAGTTTAACAGTGAAATTGTCAAAATGTTTTCAAATCTTTCAGAGTTCCTGCAGATCGCAGGTTCGAATCCCCGTCACCGAATATGCTCCACCTTTCAGGCGTGGTCGCGTGACATTAGTGCCGTTCAATCCTACTATTCGTTAGTAAAGAGTTGCCCAAGAGTTGGCGGTGGGTAGTGTTAACTAATTACCTCCCCCCTAGTATGCTAAATTAGGGACAGCTAACGTAGCTCTTGAGTATCTTTGCTCGAAATTCAAATCCTTGGTCTCCTAACGTTAAATTTGTGGTTCGATCCCTGCATTAGGCACAGTACAAAGAGCCATTTATGCAGCTTTGTGCATAAAAAAATTACTTTTCAATATAAATTATAAATGGACATCGGTGTTCTTAATAAGAATATATAAAATACTGATTGTATGTTGGTGTTATCTCCTTACAATTTTTAAAACTCAGAGCTGTGACAACAAAGTGACGAACAGATGAGCAATTTGGCGCATAAATATAATTTACAAAACGGTGTTTATAAAATTCGACGGAGCTTTCTCGGTAATGGGACTAATGCCCAAAGAGGTTAATAAGTATTCTTGTTTAAATTGCCTCAAATCAAACATAATATGCGGGTAAAAGAAAACGAAAAAAGTGCTTACTAAAACATACGAATTTGAGTTCCTCTGTCCAAACGACTCAACCGTTTATGTTAAAAAAAAAACTAAAACTTCCACAGCTGCGAAACACCCCCTGCATGCTAGTGCGACATTTTGTCTTTCATGACATCATACCCGTAGTGGTCAATAATTCTTTATAACTGCTTAAAATATAATAAATATATATTGCAGTTAAAAAAATCTGATAACCTGAGCGTTTTCAGAAAAAAAAATCTTCCTTTTTATATTATATCATACTTCAATTATTGATAATGTTACGTGTCTGGTCGTTAGATAATTTTCCGTAAAAATTCTTTCCGAAAAAACTTTAGCGATACAAGTCCTTTTTTAAATAAAACTGGTTTATTCTCTCTGAATACAACTTTGCAATACACTTAATTTCCACAGTCACACTATAACAAACGCTATAATTCACAACGAACGACTCACGTGCTCGATTCGATCGTCAGTCTCTATCTCTGTCTGCAATTCAATTACATTCCATCGTTGCCGTCACTTCTTGGCGGTCTTATATACATGAATACCGCATATCTAGAAAACACTCGAGCATTTACGAACCTTCGAGAATATGACGTGTTACTAGCGTCACGTGACCCCCGCTGTCGTAACAATATTTTGTTGGTTGCGATGTGTGTAGAATAATTTTCTATAAATTTGTAAACGGAAGTTGGTGTCAATAACGTCTTACTATCTAATACATTACTATGAAAATAATAACTAAATTACGCCTTATCTTACACTTACTTTGTATATTTTATCAAATGTTTAAAAAATAAGTTGTGTAATATTATTACGTGGTCTCGTGACCTTTTTGTTTGAATGACGTCCAAACAAATTTTTGTATTAACAATAAATAAAATAAGATCTCGTGTTTAATATGTAAAGTATAAATATGTATATTTGTTGTTGATCGTATTGTGTCTTCATAACTTTGACGCTCAGTATGGGATTTGAAACAATGTTGCCCATTCCATAGCGCCTCCTAACGACAATTCTGAATGCTTATAATTTTAGAAATCGGGTTTCGATATCCGTGGTGGGCACAGCACAGATAGCCCATTGTGTAGGTTTGGGCTTAACATCAAACAAACCTTTTCTTTTTTATATGATGATAAAAACTGGTTTCACTTGGAAAGATTAGATTTCAGATATCCGAGCGTCTATTTTATCTGGAATAGTTGCTTTCGTTCAACTTCTGAACACCGCATAGGGAGCGCTGCGTTTCACCACCACCACGCCCAACTCGTGCATTGCTGCTGTACTATCAATAAACAGATCTTTCTCTTTTTAATGAACATTTGCAGTCTTCAGAATTATCAGTGAATTAGAAACAGTTGAACCCAGACCTTTCCACCAGTGGGGTGGGGGTGAAGTTGAAGGGAATGAATTAAAATTCGACAAAATGGAAAATACTATACTTCCGTGGGGAAGTTTTTGCACAGAGGAAGCCCCCTGCTGGGGTTCAATTTTCTGCGATGGACACAACAGATAGCCCAAAGTGGCTTTGCTCTATATAGCAGGTTTGTTTTATTTATTACATACATTTCAATCAGTGTAGAACTAATTTTAAAATTGAAAGTTTATCACGCTAAGAGGCATAAAAAACGTGCCTTAAGTCATGACAGTCAAGTTTTTTGTGTTTCTTGTTTATTTTATTATAGTAATGCTATTGATAACTGTGTGTACAAATGTTTTCTAAAGTCTTCCACTGATACAGCACCATCTATCGACACAATGAAGCAACGTCTGAATACTGAACTACAGTTAGGAAATTTTTGTTTTCTGCGAACGATGTTAACTCGACTTGTTTCGTACTCAGAAAGACACTCTGATTATGTTTCTCAACATTGTTTAATTATGTTAGCGTTATAAGTCAGTAAACTTATGCTGTTCCATCGGGAGACATTTTATATCTATTACCCATAATACCCTATTTAAATTCATCAGTTACACCATGTTTTAAAATTTGAACAAACATATGTGGTATTTAAACTATGTACATTGTACTGCAAGGAAGAATGTGGGTCGCATTCAAGTAAAAAAAGGGAGGGTGGATGTAGTGCACTGGTAGTTAATTGTTTAATTCAGTAGCTACTTTGTCGTTATTGTTTTATTGAGCAGTTTCTTTGTCGTTATGAGATCTGTATGAAATTACCACGCGTGATTTAGTAGGTAGCATGCTCGAACTGGTGATCCAAAGATGTATGGTTCGAGTCCCACTGCCCCACAAATGCACACCATACTCTGAGGCTGGCGATAAGATCTCTCTTTTCAGTCAGATAAAATAGCCCAAGAATTTATTATGTATGCTGTTGATTAGCTGCCTTTCCTCTAGTCTATTGGTTTAAAACTAGGGGTTATTGTGCACACATATCTTTCTTTTGTATTTTGTGCAAAAATTCCAGGATTGTGTGTACCAGCCTTTCCCAACTTAGAGGTGATAAACTATAGCCAATTTTTGGGTTATTCTTTACCAGTGAACTGTGGGATTGACAGTTACATTATAACACCCCAACAGCTGAGAGGGCAACAGTTGTGTTAAACATTCGTATCTACATGGTTTCCTAAATTACAGTAATATATATCATATACTAGTGCCATTTGACTGAATTCATATATGTATAAGTTTTGATGTGCAATCTATCACAAACTAATAAAAAACTTGGTAATAAAAGTTTAAGTTCTTTGTCAGAATGACGTATGAATGTCTCGTTTTCTATTTAGTCCATTACTCAGTGCTTTTGAGTGCAATTTAATATTTTCAACAGAAATATTCTAAATACAAGAAAGATTAAAGAACCAGCTGCACAAGAATATTAGTGATAAAACAGACGTTTGTGAATGTAGATCAACCTGTCAACCACGTGCACCATAAGCTGGCTTCTCATAGGTCGTAATACACAAGTCACTGACACCCTGATGGACAGCACTGCTATGAAACTAACAAGTTTGACGATGTAAACATGGTTATAAATAGAGCATCAAGTGGGTCTCCAAAGCTGAAAAAATACTTTGTTGTAATAATGAGAAAAAAAAAGTTACTGTTCCCCTTTCAAATGTAGATCGTAGTGTTGTACCCTTCTTTTATCATACAAGTGAACGTTAGAACATTTGTCGAGCATTGTAATGTTATAAATGTATATACAATAATTATAAAATTGGCTTTACGTTATTTTGTCTTGCTGCTATTAAGTGTACATTCATATATTTATGTTTTAAGCGAGCTATGAAAGTGTTATAAATCAATAAAGTTTAAACATTTTTAAATACAATTATTTATACTATGTTTCACATCCACATAGCCTATACACAAACCATATTAATGGTTCATCGTTTTCTTTCTGTATTTCTACAGTTTTAAGATCCTCAGTACACACACAACATTCACAAAAACCTTTATTTCAACAAATTTGACTTTAGTATTCCAGGGAACTTTCACGACTACAGTGTATTAACACGAAGAGGAAACCATCTCGATCCCAAAATGATGTTTTTATAGTGTTTTACGAGGCCTATAGCTTCAATATACCGAACACGTGTTCCAGTAAACCATCAAAGTCCAAAAGAATAACTTAGCACGTGTAATGCTACCTTTTGACAAGTTTTGGTTCTATTTTGGAATTACGCTGTTTGTTTGTTTGAAATTAAGCATAAAGCTACACAATGGGCTATCTGTGCTCCGCCCACCACGGGTATCGAAACCCGGATTCTGGCGTTGTAAATCCGCAGACATACCGCTGTGCCACTGGGGGGCGGAATTACGCAGGAAACGACATTAAACTTAACGTGTAGTGCCACCTTTTGGTACTATCTTGAGATTACACTGGAAACGACCTTAACAGATATTCAACTGACAGCTTGATGTTATATTTTATTACTCTACTTAGTGGTAATGTATCGTATTTTTAGAAGTAATTTTAATAATTAACCTCTGCAACTATATACAGAAGTAAATAACTTAAATGTTTGTATTTATAAGAGAGAAGTTCGTGAATGTTTAGCGTTATAAGCCCTCAAGCTTACCGCTGAGCCACAGGGAAATGTATTCTTAATGCACGTGATATTTCATGCAAATGTTCCGGCAAAGTGTAATTTGAAACCCACAACAAGAATACAAAAAATCAAAGTTTTATTTGAGCTACTACAAAGGATAACAATATTATTACTGGTTGTTCATAAAGTAGTTACAAGTATCAAGTGGTACTTCTGAAACAATATTCTATTTTTATGTACTTCTTATCCAATGATTACAAGTTTGTCGTAAAATAACTATTAATATCGGATTTCCAGTAGGGGGCGTACGTTACACCAGACAACTTCTCTTCTCGGTAGGTAGTGGTAGATAGTAGCATCAGATTGGTTAAGCAAACACTTACAATAATTCATCACACTTTCCTTCTTACAAAGATACACACTTCACCAATTGGAACTTCAAGTCCCAAAGAAAGTGGCTTCAAAATGTCAAATTACGGCTCTATTAAAACCACAAAATTAACATAATGTCGAATTTGTGTTCAAGAACTCGTTTTTTTTTATTTTTCATAACTTTAAATATTCACAGAAATATTCTAAATCAGTGGTTCTCAATTTTTTTGTTATGCCACGTACCCCAAACCTTTCAACCAGTGCTGTATAGCCCTGACACAAAAAACTTAGCTAGTTGATACCTTTTAACGTTTTTCAAAGGTTCTCGCATACCCTATGCCCCCACCTACACCCAGAAGTACGCATGTCACAGGCTGGGAATCAGTTATCTAGACCAATTGTAAAAACACTTCCTAACTTAACAGAAAGTGTATATACATATTTACATAAATACCTAAGAGGCACCAATACACGCCCTGAGCCACTGTATAATTCGGAATAATAAATTAGGCATAATGCCACAATATTATTCATACAGCTAAATAAACTTAGATTACTAAATGGTGATTTCAAAAGCATTTAAAACACCATAAATATTATATACACACCACCATTATACGAATCATTACTCTAATACTTTGATTTGCTGACCCAAACTTCACGCCACAGCAGATGCATTAGGTCTTTACGTCACAGATTATATTTTCAATTTTACCTTTGGTGAGCAACAACAACAAAATAAGAACCTGTAACACGGCAACTGGTTCAATAATAACAGCCTTATTTTCTAAAAATAGCTTATCCAAAGTAATAGGTCGTTTCATTGTCTATAACTGCTTAGCAAATTTATTAAATCACATAATAATAGGGTTAAAAATATCTCCCCAATTAACATTTACTCTAACAATACATCAATAAGGCCACCTACTGGTAGGTTTTATAACATACTATTTGTTTAATAACTGGACTGACTGATTTTTTTATACCAATGAATGTCAAACATGAACAATGCTTTAAATCTAGTAGCTTTCGTAGTGGTGGTTTGTTAATGGACATGGCTGAGTGGTTTATATTTAATTTTTCTATTAGTAATCTAGTTAATATAAGCCATTGGCCACATGTTAAAATGTACACCAAAGACCCATGTAAAACTGGGCTAAATGGCCTGGTCAAAATCCCTAGGATTCAGGTATATCAATCCCAAATTTTGAGTTACTGACCACACTTAAAGCAGCCAGCTAATAGTGTCTGCTGCTATAGAGGGTTTGTCTAGTTCCTTGAACCAGATAATGGGATTGACTGTGTCTTTAATAACATGGTCACCCATTGAAAGAATAGTGTTTAGCGGTATCACATATTGAACCTCGGACCCTCCTGTCTGCAGCCTGATACTTCAATCACTACACAATAGTTGGCCCGTGGCTGAAGTAGACCATTAATTTACACAGCTTTAATAATTAATTATTCGGATTTACTATCCAACAATCGATGATCTCACAACCAATGCAAGGATAATGCTTTGAAAAGGAAAAAGTGGTTTAAATCAGGTGAGAACTTGTCAAGGACGACCAACAATGTTGCACATTACAGAAGAATAGTTAAGTTGAAGATATGGAACACAACAGGAAACACAAATCAGTAGGCAACATTTAGATGGTTACTTTTCCTTATCATCTTGGCAGTTTTAATGTTAAGTGTTCTACAACTGTACTTTTCGAATAACTACAAGTCCATATAGTAATAAGGATTTTAAATACTTTCTGAGGACTAGACTAGAGTATCATGTCTTACTTCAGGTGCTTCTATGTTCTAGATTATTCTCCATTAAATTATCAATGACTTTTTAATACTACAAGGACCCTGCAAGTTTTGCTACATTTGTGTCATAACATTATTCTAACAGAAACTAAATTCTTATATTTTCACCAATACCTATTTATGGATTCTTTCAAATATCAGTTTCATACTCAAAGAAGTGAACATCAAAACCATTTGGTGTTGTGATGAAATTTCTACAGTCATCTCACAATAGAAGGCATTTTTTAAATTTAAACTTTAAAGCCCCTCTAGATAAAATGTCTTTGATTTTCTTTAAAAATTGCTTCTACTTATCTATAACTATACATAATTTTTTTTTTTAACGAGTTACTCTAAACAAGAATTAGACATTAGGCTCCACATAACATTAGCAGTACACATACCACATTTTGAGGATAACTGATCTAAGGCATTATGTTTAATAAAATAAAAGAATTTTGTAACCCCAAGTGCAAGTCTGTATTATGTACTACAGACAGCCATTGGCTGCCCTATTTCTGATGTGTGCACACACTGGTTAAAAAATTAGAAACTCTTCATGTCATTTCTAATGTTCAGGTCACTGGTGGTGAAGCATCGCTGTGAGGAATATTCATGGATTTTGCCTTCCGATAATGCAGAAGGGACGATTCACACCTGGGGAACACCCGAGCATCGTATCAGACCAAGTGCACCCAGCAGTGCCTCATTTCTACCCAACAATGATGGCTACTTTCAGGACGGCAATGCTCCCGTCCACACTGATACAAAACTTCGGCATCTATGCGGGCCACCACAGTCATCAGATCTCAATTTTATTGATAATCTGTGGTATGTGCAGTGAAGAAGCATAGCCCACAACCATTCAAAAGTTAAAGGTTGGACAGTTGAAGAAATAGAGTTGGCTATCCTCCAATGTCTTATGGAACCCCTGCCACAGTGCATTTGAGCTGTCGTTAGGTGGCCCAAAGCAATATGAAGGAGAGGCTTCTATTTTTTTTGGCCAGTATGTACAGGTCACCTATGTGATAACATTAGTTTTGTGCTATAGTTTCATATAGATGTTTCTAGCATGCACACAGCAATTAAAATATCAATTTTCAATTCTGGATTAAGTGCTAAACTGGCATTGATTTATTCTGTTGTACAGAAAAAAAAGCAGTTATTTTTTTGTAGTATTTAATACAACTGTATTTGCTACCAACAAAAAACATCGTCATGAAGATCCATCACACTTGAAGGACTTGGTTTACAAGTACTAACCAAGCTTTATCTACTTAATATGTTCATTTTTATTTCTTGAATACGCTAATAACCTAAGTCTAAACATATTTTAGTCCAATTACCAGCCATGCACTAAACATAATAACCCATTTAAACAGTTGAAATCCCACACGACACATCTAGCAAAATTAAAACTGAAGTGAAGCATATTCCATTAAATTAGCTTAGGTGACTAAAAATTCATTTTTGCCAAGTTTTGTAATTTACAATTATTAGGTTATTCAGAAAGAAACAGGATATTATTTTCCTATAGGCCAATCATATGACATTTTAGTTTCAGGCTTAAATTAATTCAACCAACAACCAATACCTGTAATACTCTTGCCATGGAATGGACCCCCCCCCCCTTTAACACTGTAATACTGGTATTAACCAATTACTAATGCCTAATCTGTGTTGTTGCATTAATTTAATATTCTTAGAACCCTTACAACAGAGATCTTTTATAAATACAGGTTTCCACAGACAGAATATCTCTGACATCGAACTGTCTTCCATTTCTGATAATTTCAAGCACTATTGCAGTTATCTATCATTTACTACGGTTCATGGCCAGCATGATTTTTTCTATCTCTGATGCTTGTTTGGTCACTCTTCAACTCATAATCCAAGTGTTAATAAATCAGTTCTATTTACATCTTTTAAACTTTATAAACCAATGTTACTGCTATACTGTAACACTGTTTCTTGCATCATCAGAAACATACAATGCTGCATGCAGAAGATGGATATTGATCTATAAATGCAATCATTTACTGGCTGGAACTTATTCATATGAAACACATGAGAAACAAAATTTCATTTATTTCGGGACACCCAAAATTCCAAGATACCTTAAAAACATTTAATGGCTGATCAACTGTTAACCTCTGACAGTGCTATAAGTCTGAACTTGACATAAAAACAAGGGCAAGTCTTCTTTTTACCGTTTCCCGACCATACTGAATATTGTGAGGACACACCATTTTAAACTGAATCAAAAACAAGAATTAAAACTTTCAATCACATATAGAAGTGTGGAACTATATTTATTAGAGTGAATATTTTTATAAAAGATTCATTAAAACAGGTTTGCTTCATACACTGACAGTTAAATAAGTTTAGCTTCTGAAGTTACATAACCTCTGGAGATTATTTAGACATGTTCTAGTAACAGCAATTATAAAGAAGTGACTCTAGTTCAGTTTACGATAAGAGAATCATGTTAAATCTGTGACAAGTAAGAACATCATTAAAAGCTGCATCCCACCCCCCATAAAAAAAGAAACAAAACTCACACAGGTGAGTCAAAAGGTACAACATGGAATGACTTACTCAACAGCTTGTATCTTTAAACAACAACAACAAAAAGGAATGAAGAAATGCATATAAAGAAGTGAAACAGAATTCAAAATACAGATTGAATATTGGTATGTTATGTCCAAAACTTTGTGAGCTTTTAAAAACAGTTTTGAGTATCAATATTTAACTTTACATACGAGCTATTAGTTTAAGAAAACAGTAAAACAAAATAGCAGATATTACAAATACCAATCATTCGTCACACACAACAGGAACTCCAAGCAACCAATTGCTCTACATGATTGGATTATGTAACCTCAGTCACGACAGTATTTCACTGAAACTTATTACATGTAATAATTAAATAGTTACAGCATTTTTTTCATAGAAAAAAATTTACTTTTGTGACTAAATCACATTATTTGGTACCAACACAGCTGGAGGGGAATTCACATGGTTCATAAATACACACCTTCACAGTCTGTAATTCACAGTTTTGGTTGATTTTTTACTCAATGCTACACCAGAAAAGACCTTCCTTATGTAATCTTTTATTCATTTAATGTGCTTCTATATAGAGCATTGCACAAATAAACTTAGAAAAAATCATTGTTTCATTTAGTTTTACAAAAACTTGAGTTGGCTGAAACTGCTATATTGAATACCCTATCCCCCCAAAACAACAACAGGCTACGTCGCTGGCCAGTGATAATACAAAAGTGTAAACTGATATATTCTATCAAAACTAGTTTACTAAATTATTATCAGTTTGAAGCCCGAGGAAAGTTAATCATTAATTTTATCTCAAACAAAAGCAGAAAGTGATTTAAAACTAAATCAATTATAACCTACAAAATGATAAACAGGTAAAAGAAGAATATACTCGGAACAAGAGTTTGGATCGTACTACATCTTATATGGAAAAAAAAAATCAAAACATAGTGTCACAGAAAAAAATGGTTATACTTTTCTGAGTAAATTTCTAACAATAAAAAATGGACCCAAGATGTTTTACAAGTAACAACATCTTTAAAACAATGGTTTAGTTTTCATTACACAAAAAGTATTTTAAACGTAAAAATTTGCAATAATGTATTTACCACAATGTATTTTCTCTTTAATTTTGTAAAATTATCAGCACTCAAACACATATATGATAGGGTTTAAACAGTTCTATCTTACACTTCTGTGGGGTGGGGGTGGGGACTCATCACTTGTATGAAATTAAACATTCCATCACCTTGTTCACAGAAGTTTTTAACACTAATTAATAACAAATAAGTCAAGAGCTAAATTCCTACAAACCATCATTGATGTAGAATACTTCCTAATATGATGTTCAACAAGCCCATTTCATTGAATCTAATAATGTACTATATCTTTACTTCGGTAAAATTAAGTTGAGAATTAACCTGCTGTGACGTGTCTATGCCCCATGGTGTCCTCCTGTAGAAATGAAAGGAAATATCAGTATCAGTTTATGACTTTCTACACCATTAATGTATAACTAAATCAAACATATTGTGTTTTTCTGAATAACTACCCAGATAAGCAAAATAAATTTAAAATACTGCACTGAAACAGCAACATTTTTATAAAAGTAAAGGCAGTTTCTTTAACAATGATCTAACAGCTTCTTCATTCACAAACTGAGACCTGTTTGTTTTTGAAGTAAAACCAACTGAGGGCTATCTGAACTAGCCGTCTCTAATTTAGAAGTGACAGACAGCAGCTAGTCAACACCAATAAATCTTTTACCAACAAAAAATTAGATTGACCTTCACATTATAATGCCCCCCACAGATGAAAAGGCAAGCACATTCAGTGATGGAATTCAAACTTGTGACCAGCACATTGTGAGTTGAATTATCTAACCACCAGGCCATTTAGGCCTTAGCTGAGGCCTGAGATCAATGTTGAAGAAGCTGATAGTAAATTGCTTTTATTTTTATAAAGATGTTGTCATTTATTCAGGACATTTTCATATTAGATTATACTCATTGAAACAACTTAAAAATTATAATCATTGAAACAACTTAAAGATTATACTCATTGAAACAACTTAAAGATTATACTCATTGAAACAACTTAAAGATTATACTCATTGAAACAACTTAAAGATTATACTCACTGAAAGAACTTAAAGATTATACTCATTGAAACAACTTAAAGATTATACTCATTGAAACAACTTAAAGATTATACTCACTGAAAGAACTTAAAGATTATACTCATTGAAACAACTTAAAGATTATACTCATTGAAACAACTTAAAGATTATACTCATTGAAACAACTTAAAGATTATACTCATTGAAACAACTTAAAGATTATACTCATTGAAACAACTTAAAGATTATATTCATTGAAACAACTTAAAGATTATAATCATTGAAACAACTTAAAGATTATACTCATTGAAACAACTTAAAGATTATACTCATTGAAACAACTTAAAATTTTTACATCATATCAAGTTGAAATTAACAAAACAATAACCTAAAAAAAATTACAAAGAATTCAGTGAAAAAAATTACTCATCTAAAAAAGCCAATATATTATCTGATCAAACTAACACTTGAAAATGGTCTAAATAAAAACATTTACATCCCCAGACAATCTGCATGGTTCAAACCATTAAATCACAAATTAAAACAACTTGCGACAACATAACTAACATTATTTTGGCCAGACTAGCTGAATAAAAATATTTAGTATAATTTTAGTATAATACTAACACAGAATGTGAAACCTGTTAAAAAATGATACTCTATAGATCTTAATAATTATGAGACATCAATCTAGTTTTCATAAATATGCAACAAAATGCTACCAACTACAATTGGTATACAAGAAAACAGAAACAAAAATAAAAGCAAATCATATTGATAAGGCTTGGCAACAATAAAATCAAATCTTGTAGATACACATCATATTTTAACCCAAATGTACACAGGGTCAGTCCATTAGTATTGAAGGAATGTTGACTGTTGAATGTATATGAGAAGGATTGTTGACTATAATTTTGAACTTGTGTGTATCTAGACAAAATGTGGCAAACTTTTAGTAAAATGTAAAGGTCTCGTTGTACACAAAAAATCCAATGTTTTACTAAAGTATCAAGATACATCTGTGAATGGATAACATCAAGTTGATGTTCACGCGAGGAATAAAAGTACTTTTTTCCATCGTACAGTTACCTAAACAGTTTAGTACCTAGTCCTGATATTTAATGGTCAGCTAAGCAGAAGTATATCAATTTCTGTATACAGTACTTGGACATGCACAGAAGTCTAAAGGTCAGTTTGAGTTAAACTCTTCTTAAACCCAGTTAAGAATAAATTAATATGATAAGTGATTAATAAACATGTGTTGAGTTTAATTTGTAAACGAATGACTCTCCTTAAAGAATTAACATAGTTTTGTGGATCACCCCGAAGTGATTAAAAACATCCTAAAATAAACCAAAATCTAGAGTTCATCAAGTTTCTAAAGAAGAAGAGACCACTTTTCAAAAGTGCTCAATATTTGGATTTAATCTATATTTATATACAGAGCTGAATACGTATATACTGAAATGATTTTAATATAACAAATCAACAAGTCATTTAAAAACCGCAACTGATATGAAGTTACTGTTGAATGGTGTATACCAGGTCTACGTTTTGATGCTGTTTGGCATTTTTAGGTAGTGCAATGCTACCAAAGAGTCATCATCATTTTTAAAAGGGTAACAGTCCTTTCCAATGTAAGATACTCAGATCATAAAAATGTGCTCACACTGAGGATATAGAATTTCCATGGAAAACAAAGGAATATGGAACAACTTGAGGCACCAGGACCATCCAGAAAGAGACCTGAAACAAGTTGAAACTCAGCCATAGTAACATGTGGCACAAAGTTCAGTGGCAAATGCTGTCCAAGTATCCCAGAAAATGTTAAAATCTTCACCTGGAAACAAGGCCAGCAGGATAACGGTTCACCAGTGTAAGGCTTCCAGTCATACCTACCTTTCAATCATCACATACCTGGAGAACAAAATGGGTATTCATACTATTCCATTTGAAGACTTATCAGTCAAGTCACCAGACAGTGTCTATGGACTTCTGTGTGATCTTACTGCTGAAACAGTCACCAAGAAACTGCCATCTCATATGCTAGGTGGATTATGAAAAGCTAGCTTGGAAGAGTGGTGTGATGAAAGCATTACAACTGGGTCTTTTGCAATTGAAATTATGCCGCAGAGCTATTGTTAAGATACAAGGTCATCAAATACGAGGACTGGTCTGTAACGATGTGGTGAGGCTTAAAATCATTTTTATAACTAACCTCTGTACTGTAGCTATAAGGAAGATCATATCAAAGTTTCTTTCTTGTAACAAATAACATGATGTTAACTACGTACTTACCTTATGAATAATGTATGACATAAATATATCATAAATTAGTGTTAAAGTTCCCACATATCCAACTCTAAACCGAGGAGGAAGAAAGATGAAATTAAGGGTTTGGAATGGCAGAAAAAATGAGTAGTCAAACTGAAAATAAAAAACAATGAAAGAATTACTGGACTTGCAAAATTTTTGTTTTTCAACCAAACAATACTACGTTAATAACTACACATTTTCATCACAGTAAAAAAAATCATGAAACAAATTGAAAGACTTTTTCAATATTTTTTTTGCATTATAAAACGTTCACTTTGTATTTTCCAAATTCTTAGCACATCATTACTTTCCAAATATCTATCTTAAAAAACAAAAAAAAAAAAACCAATTCAAAATTTTCAAAGTTCTGTGCAATTCTTCTAAGTGACAACAGTTCTGATGTTTAACTTAAAACACACAAGTTTCTGGCTTAATTTGCTTAGACTGCCTTCATCCACCCCATCATTGAAGTCTTTTATGTCTATCTAGGTTATTTCAATAGAAATGCAAATGCTAATCCTAATTGGAGCTCATGGTGTTGTGTACCTTTTTATGAATTTCTTTAATGCAAAACTACACAATGAGCCATCTTCACTGTACACCACAGATAATTAACCCACCAATTTTGTCATTGTAAGTAGGAACATACCACTGACACAGTGGAGGATCCAGCATGTGAAGTGCTTATATATTTGTCCAAAAGCTAGGACTGATTTAGTTTTTCTTTATTACTTTAAGATTCGTTATATTTGTTCTAGACAATCGAGCTTCTGAGACTTAACTCTATTGTGATGTCTCCACAAACCTTTTGTCTTCAATACATTTATTTTTACCTTTTAGAAGTACAGTTTGTACTTTTCTAACTAATGCAGTGACAAAAATCAGGATATATAAACGCTATTTTAGATCTTCAAGAAACAAGAATTCTTTATCTTTAATATAATAATTAATAACCAGTGATTAGTCAAGATTACAACAAACAGGAAATATTTTGTATTTCTCAATTAATTTATAGATACATATGTATAACCTTAATACAACATGTTTCTTAAATAAAAAAAATACCCGTCTATTTTCATGTAAATATTTCCATGCTTATTACCATTAGAACTGTAAAAATATTTTCCTTGTAGTCTTCGAAACACTGCCTCTGAGATCGTCCCTCAAGTAATCCAACTCCCTGAAACATGACCAATGCAAATGGAGGACTGAGAGCCATTTCAGAAAGAAGTTTTTTAATCACAGATACAGCCTTTGTACCAGGAAATCTGCGGTCCAGCATGCCATACCAATAATGGCCCAGCGCTCCAAGCACAATGCCACTGGTAGACATGGCAACTGAAAGAAGGACATAATCGGTATTATTTTACTGCTATTGCTAATAGTATTTTTCAACTTCAATAGCACTGTATGTAAGAGTTAGGTCAGAAGCACACACACATCCCCACAGCTGGATGATTAACTTGATTAATCAATTACCTATGAACATTGGTTAAATAAAACAACTGATTAATTAAAATAACAATTAAACTGATTCATGTCATGAAAATATCGAACTAATAAAAAACAGTGGTTTCAAGTATTACACTTTTTAAATATTCCCACTATCTAAGTAATCGAAATATTGTCATTATTATTTCTAATTATCATTTTTCATTAATTCAAGGTTACTCAGCTTAACTTATTGGTGTCACCACTCACGAAAACATTCAACCAATCAAAATTAGCATGTCATTTATTACTGGTTTTGACTATCCCAACAATACAAGTCTCATTTGGGATTAGTTGAATGCAATTGACTAACAGTTCCAATAAGAAGTTGGTTCATATGACCCACCTTGGAATACAGAATTATACATACTATAACTCTGTAGTACTAGGTGTGTCTTCACAAACGTAGGCACCATTTTAGTAAACATTACCAGTCTGTTGTACACTGAAGACCTAACCTTTTAGTAAACGTTACCAGTCTGTTGTACACTGAAGATCTAACCTAACCTTTTAGTAAATGTTACCAGTCTGTTGTACACTGAAGACCTAACCTAACCTTTTAGTAAACGTTACCAGTCTGTTGTACACTGAAGACCTAACCTTTTAGCAAACGTTACCAGTCTGTTGTACACTGAAGACCTAACCTAACCTTTTAGTAAATGTTACCAGTCTGTTGTACAATGAAGACCTAACCTTTTAGCAAACGTTACCAGTCTGTTGTACACTGAAGACCTAACCTAACCTTTTAGTAAATGTTACCAGTCTGTTGTACACTGAAGACCTAACCTAACCTTTTAGTAAATGTTACCATTCTGTTGTAAAAAGCCCTATTCTAACCTTTTAATAAACATTACCAGTCTGTTGTACACAAAAGATCAGATTCTTTAATAAAGTGTTTTCATTAAATATTTGTCTGTGAATTTACAAAGCCTTTACCAAGTCAGTCAGAGTAGGTGATTTTCATACCAAGAATAAAAATACATGTAATTTTACAATTTTCATATTTCATTTGCATATTCTCTAGAACCCTCTAAATGAATATGAAAAGTTCTTTTCAGTTAAACATTATATCTTATCTACTATTTTCTCTACCCTCTACATTAATCATAGTAAAAATCATGAATACACAAATGGAAAATTGAAAGATATCACAATTTTTTTCCTTCTTAGAATCCATCATTTCATGCAAGATCTTTAATTCAATAGGCACAGCAGTAAACTGATTCAAGAGAGGTCTCATGTTCAACTCAAACCAGAAGCAAAAATAACAAAGTTGGAATTACTACCACCCACCAAAAAAATAAAAAAAACTGTCACCCAACATGGGGTCTTGTTGTGGGAGTGGAATAATGTGGTAGATTAAGTTAGTTGTTAAAAGATGCTTTACTACTAAATGTTAGCAGGTTAAGGTATGGAGAGAAGCTCAGTCAATTTCATCAACCTTGTAACCAACAGGTAACCATGCTATTATACGTACTATAACCCTGGTAACCATGCAATTATACATACTATAACCCTGGTAACCATGCAATTATACATACTATAACCCTGGTAACCATGCAATTATACGTACTATAACCCTGCTAACCATGCTATTATACATACTATAACCCTGGTAACCATACAATTATACATACTATAACCCTGGTAACCATGCAATTATACATACTATAACCCTGGTAACCATGCAATTATACATACTATAACCCTGGTAACCATGCAATTATACATACTATAACCCGGAATGTACTAAATGTAACTTCACAAAATTTGAAAAGCTTCTGGTAAACATTACAAATTTGTTTTACAGTAAAAATTAGGCTTTTTTTTTAATAAAGTATTTTCACTAAATATTGGACTGTGAACTTATGAAGTCTTCCCTGAGTCAGTCTGAGTGACAGAGTATAATTACTTCATCCTAAGTACTTTGTACTTTCTTATTTTCTCTATCTAACACTAAATGTAGCAAAATCATCAATGTACAGTAGATAAGAAGTTAAAATATGAAATAAAATAAAAAATACTTTTTTTTTTCTAGAATGACTGCAAACTGTAAAAAACAATTATAATTAAATAATTCTAACTGCTAACCTTTTTACAACTTCCTTATCGTTCTATGTAATAAATCAGCTTGTGAGAACCTGAGGTAAACAATCAAGTTACATCATGAGATGGCTCTCTACGGTATTACTCCAAGAGAAATAAAGAGAATTATCTTTGTCATTTAAGTTTTTAATTTTTACATTTTAGTTACTTTTGTGAGAAAATATATAGCAATAGATAAAAAATATACATATAACACATCTGTATGTATAAATCCTGGTTAAGTAGTTAGCACACAGGATCACCTACAAAAGTTGTAATATTTTCAAAACGAGACCCTAAAACATCTGTATGTATAAATCCA